CCATTAGAAATATATCATATTAACACCGATAAGCATTACACTCCATTAAAGGGGATACAACCTTGGTTTCTTTAATCCAATTAATTACTGAATAAATATTCTAATTAGTTGATACTTCCAAACAAACTCAATTCATACTCTTGTTACTATAAAACNATGATGATGCGAAGATAGAAATGGGAGAGAATCCTTTTGCAGACATCGAGGAGTACATTGAGGTTACTAACGCCATTGTACCGCCAGCTGTTGGAGCTGCAACATTTAAGGTGGAACACGGTCTAATTCCGATGCTCAAGGCAGAAGGATTTTTCAGAAACTACACAGATAATGATCCAACACAACACCTTAGAAATTTCTTGGGTGTGTGTGCAATGCACAAACAAAATAATGTCTCTGACGATGCCCTGAGGTTGAGATACTTCAGGTATTCTCTAGCTGGGGATGCGAGGAAATGGCTCCAGAATCTGCCACCCAACTCTATCCATTCTTGGCCCGAACTTGTTCGAGCGTTTTTGTCCAAGTGGTTCTCGCAGAGCAAAAAGTCTAAGTTGCGGGATAAGATTTTCTTCTTCAAGTAGATATAGGGAGAGCAGTTACATGAGGCATGGGATCGCTTCAAATTATACTTGGTGAGGTCTCCAAACCATGGTTTTCTGGATTCCATGTTGTTGGAAAATTTTTATATGGGTTTAGATCCCATGAACCAAGCCATCGCCAAGAATGCAGCTAACGGATCTTTTATGGAAAAATCATGCAAGAGTGACACAAATCCTAGACAAAATGGCAAAGCACAACCAAGCATGGCATTCAGAGGATACTACCGGAGGAATCTCATATGTCTCTCCTTCCTTGAGCAACTTAATCAAGGAAAATAAAGAGAGGGATCAAGTGATTGTCGGGCTTGCAACAAATGTAAATGTGCTGACAAAGATGTTTACCGAGAATCAGACAAAGAAAGTAAATGCAGTGGAAGATGTCCAACCCATCTTAGATGAAAATTTTGAGGAAGCAAATTAAATCAACAACCGTCAAGGAGGGTATCAAAGGCAACCCTACCATCGTTAAGGGCAACAAAGCCAGTGGAGGCCAAACCCGCAAGGGCAAGGTAACAAACAATGGAGAAATGATCAAGGTAACTTGCATCAAGGAAATTGGAACAACAACAACAACTTTGCAAATCGGAGCTCCAACCCGTATGTTCCTCCAAAAGGTCATTATGCAAATCAAGGGTCGTCAAGTGAGTCAAAGTTAGAAAGCATGCTTGAAAGAGTATTGCAAAACCAAGAAAAGATTGACGCGTCCATGAGAAACATGACCGAAGTTGTTGGCTCTCACACCTCATCTATCCAAAAGTTAAAGATGCAGATGAGAGACCTTTCAAGAGCAAAACCCAAAGTAAAAAGGGCAACTTCCTAGTGATACCATTGCGAACCCGAAGAGTGGTGGAAGTGGCTCAACTTCTCATGTCATGGCAATAACTACTAGAAGTGGGAAGGTTTTACAAGGTGACATTGAGCAAGAGGTTGTTGGGGAAGAAGCCGAACAAGAAGTTGAAGCAGAAGAGCAAGGGGTTGTTGAAGTTGAAAGGGTGCCGGAAAAAGAGAAGGTGCAAGAAGTGAACCAAGAAGGGGTGAAGGAAAAGGAGAAGGAGACATTAAAAGCTCCACCTCATATTCCTAGACCTCCTCCGCCTTTTCCTCAAAGACTTATTAGAAGGGTTGATGATAGCAAGCTTGAGAAATTCTATGATATTCTAAAACAATTGTCGGTGAACATTCCATTCTTGGAGGCTTTTCAAGAAATGCCGGGGTTTGCCAAATATTTGAAGGATTTGATCACCAAAAAAAGACAACAAATAATGAGGTGGTAAACATGACTCACTGGGCAAGCTCTATTATTGCCAAAAGCCCTGTCCAAAAGAAAGAGGACCCGGGAGCATTTACTATTCCATGCACTATCGGGAAGCGTGACTTTGCAAAGGCCCTTTATGACAATGGGGCTAGCATCAACTTGATGCCACTTGCCATCTACAAGCAAGAGGTATGAGGGATGCCGAGGCCAACAAGTATGAGGTTACAAATGGCCGATCGATCTATTAAGCGACCTGTAGGAATTGTTGATGATGTGATTGTGAAAGTTGGAAAATTCCATTTGCCCGCCGACTTTGTAATTCTTGACTGTGCTATTGATAAATAGATCCCTATCATCTTGGGGAGACCATTCCTAGCCACGGGAAGAGAACTCATGGATTCAGAGCGAAATGAAATTAAGTTCCGGGTGAATGATGAAGAAGTCACATTTCAAGCGAGCAAGGGTATGAAATTACCCCATGGGTATGAGAGAATTTCAGTGATAGATGTGGTTAATGAGGTTGAAGATGCCGTCGAATTGAAAATGGAAGAATAATGCCTTGGTGAGGCATTGGCAGCTATCTTGGTAAACTTTGATGGTGAGGACATGGATGGGTACATGGAGTCGGTAAATGCATTGGAGGGTCTTGGATCCTATACTTACACGCCGACAAAGCTTTCTCTTGACATGGAGAATAGGGCCACACCTCCCTCCAAGCCATCAATCATTGAGCCACCACAACTAGAGCTCAAGCCTCTCCCGCCGCACTTAAGGTATAAATTTCTTGGCTCTAATGATACTTTAGCCATAATCATTTAGTCTTTGCTAAATGATGTGAAGGTAAACCAATTGTTGGAAGTGTTGAAAGAACATAGGCAAGCCATTGGATGGACCATTGCGGACATTCGTGGAATCCCCGAGGGAATTTGTGAACATAAAATCCAATTGGAGAGCGAAACAAAGCCAAGTGTGGAACATCAAAGGCGGTTGAACCTGTCAATGCAAGAGGTAGTAAAGAAGGAGATTATCAAGTGGTTGGATGCCGGGGTAGTTTACCCCATTGCCGACAGTTCGTGGGTGAGCCCAGTAAAATGTGTGCCAAAAAAGGGTGGCATGACCGTGATCGAAAATGAGAAGAATGAGCTCATTCCAACGTGAATTGTGACCGGATGGTGAGTTTGTATGGACTATCGGAAACTTAATAGTGCTACTTGCTAGGACCACTTCCCTATGCATTTTATTGATCAAATGCTTGATCGGCTAGCGGGGAGGTCATTTTATTGTTTCCTTGATGGTTACTCCGGCTACAATCAAATCAACATCGCTTTGGAAGATCAAGAGAAAACTACGTTCACTTGCCCGTATGGCACTTTTGCTTTTAGCCGGATGCTATTTGGCTTGTGCAATGCTCCGGCCACTTTCCAAAGGTGTATGATGTCCATCTTCTCCGACATGGTTGAGGACTTTCTTGAAGTCTTCATGGATGATTTCTCGGTGGTCGGTGATTCATTTGAGCACTGTCTTAACAATCTTAGACAAGTGCTTAAGTGATGCGAAGAGACTAACCTTGTGCTAAATTGGGAGAAGTGTCACTTCATGGTTTACGAAGGCATTGTTCTTGGGAACAAAATTTCAAGCATGGTATTGAAATCGAACGGGCAAAGATTGAGATTATTTCTAAGCTTCCTCTACTGACCTCCGTGAAAAGTGTTAGAAGTTTTCTAGGGCATGCCGGGTTTTACAGGCGCTTCATCAAGGACTTCTCCAAGATTGCTAACCCCATGTGCAAACTCCTCGAAAAGGATGCCAAGTTTGTGTTTGATGAGAACTGTCTTATAGCTTTTGAGGAGTTAAAGCAAAGGCTCACCACGGCACCCATTATTGTCACGCCCGATTGGTCACTTCCTTTCGAGCTCATGTGTGATGCCAGTGGTGTATCCATTGGAGCAATGCTTGGCCAACGTCAAAACAAAGTTCTCCACCCGGTGTACTATGTAAGTAAAACTCTCAATGGGGCACAAATGAACTACATGGTAACTGAGCAAGAACTTCTTGCTATTGTGTATGCTTTTGAAAAATTCCGGGCTTATTTGTTGGGGTCCAAAGTGGTGGTATACACTGATCATGCGGCTCTTCTATATCTCATGGCAAAGAAGGATGCAAAGCCTCAATTAATTCGATGGGTCTTGTTGTTTCAAGAATTTGACTTCGAAGTCAAAGATCGCAAGGACACTCAAAATCAAGTAGCGGATCATTTGTCAAGGCTTGAGGAAGCAGGGAGACCACAGGGAGATCTTGAAATCAACGATGCATTCCCTGATAAGCACATATTGGCATTATCTAGCACTTTTGCTCCTTGGTATGTCGATATTGCTAACTACTTGGTTAGTGACCTTATCCCGGACGGATTGGAATCTTATCAAAGAAAGAAGTTTTTGAGAGACTGCCGGCAATACTATTGGGAGGAACCATACTTGTTCCGTGTTTGTGCTGACAATATTATCAGAAGGTGTGTTCCCGAAGAAAAGGTTATGCCAATTCTCAAGGCATGCCATGACTCACTGGTTGGGGGTCATCATGGAGGAAATTGGACGGCGGCTAAAGTTCTTGAATGTGGGTATTATTGGCCTTCCATCTACCATGATGCCAATCAAATGGTCAAGGCTTGAGACCAATGTCAACGACAAGGTTCAATCTCCAAGAGGCATGAAATGCCAATGCACTTTGTGATGGAGATAGAGATCTTTGACGTGTGGGGAATCGACTTCATGGGCCCCTTTGTAAGTTCTTGCGGGATGAAATACATCTTGGTAGCTGTGGACTACGTGTCCAAATGGGTCGAAGAAGTTGCCTTACCAAACAATGAGGCAAGGAGTGTGACCGCCATCTTGAAGAAAAACATATTCACTCGGTTTGGCACTCCTAGAGCCATCCTTTGTGATGGTGGATCTCATTTTTGTAACAAGGCATTCTCGGGGCTGCTTGAGAAGTATGGCGTAAAGCACAAGGTGGCCACACCTTATCATCCGCAGTCAAGTGGTCAAGTTGAGTTTTCCAACCGGGAGATCAAGAGCATTCTAGCAAAAACTGTGAACGCAAATAGGACCGACTGGTCAACGAAGCTAGATGATGCATTGTGGACATACCGCATGGCCTACAAAACCCCTATTGGTACTTCTCCGTATCGGCTAGTCTTTGGTAAAGCATGTCATCTACCCGTGGAATTGGAACACAAAGCTATGTGGGCTTTGAAAAGGCTGAACTTAGATTGGGTTGAAGCTACAAATTTGAGGGTAACACAACTCAATGAAATGGAGGAATTCCGATTCCATGCTTATGAAAGTGCAGCTGTGTACAAAGAACGGATGAAGTTTGTCCATGACAAGAAGATCTTGAAAGAGAGTTCAAGACGGGTGATTTGGTCTTGCTCTTTAACTTAAGGCTCAAATTGTTTCCGGGCAAGCTTAAATCAAAATGGTCCTGTCCATTCAAAGTGGTTAATGCCTCTCCTTATGGAGCGGTGGAATTAGAATCAACAGATGGGTCCCGGACATTCAAGGTAAATGGCCAATGCATCAAGCAGTACTTGGGCACTGATGGAGAAAAACATTTGGAGGAGCAGCTGGCTCACAAATATGGCCCATGCCCGACCATTGAGTGAAACCAAAGGAACATCAACTTCGTCGTGCCGCGACGTTAAATCAAGCGCTTCATGGGAGGCAACCCATGTGTGGTAACACTCTTTTGTTCTATGAATTTTTAGTTTTTGATAGATAGATATATTTGAGCAATTTAAAGTGTGTGTCAGAGTACAGGGGGTTCAAAAGATCACAACAATTGGTACGGATGCATAAAAAGTGGAAGAAAAACCACTAGGTGAATTCTGCTGCACAAATGCGGTCGCATTTTAGCTATGCGGACCGCACTCTGACCGCAGACCTAAGCAGAGATTTGAGTAAAAATTGTGGTCGAAAATGTGGTGAGGTGGTGCATTATGCGGTCCACATTTAATTTATGCGACCGCATTTTGCACCGCATTTACCTCCCTTCAGCTTGGTCCTTAACCTCATCGCATAACACACATGCGATCGCACTGTATGTTATGCGGTGTCCTATCCATCGCAGAATCAACAAGGTAAGTCCACATAACCCTCTCGTCTCTCACTCACTTAAAACAAAACAAAAAAAATGGAAAAAGGGGGAAGAACACGAACGAACTTCGAACCAAATCAAGCTCAAATTGTGTGCAACCAAAGGACTCCATTTATCACACTCATTGTCCCAATCATCAAACTCTGTTGGTATGTACCCGTTTCTCTCTCATTTTATCTTTGATTTCCATTGTAGGTTCAGATATTTTTTGTTTAAATCCTGTGCAAAAATGTGTTTAGATGCTTGTGTAGTTGCTTCTCTAGTGTAGATGCTTTTGGGTTGAAAATAATTTGGGGTACGGGGTAAAATGAAATAGGACTGCCATTGTTGGAAGCTTGGGTAACCTATGTAGAAGAAGGCATCTGCGGCCCGCATTTTGGCCGCACAACTAAACCCTAAATCATCTGAAGAAGATGATGAAATGTGGTGTCTTTGCGATCGCAGATTTGACATCCGGACTGCAAATTCACCATAGAGTGATACAGAGATTTCAGTTTTGAACCATATAGCCATGTCAATTCTGCAATGGTTATGTGGTCCGCATAGTAGTTATGCGACCGCATAACTCACCGCAGAATGAGACCACCAGTTGAGACTACAAGATCTGCAACAATTCTGCGGTCCGCATTATGGTTTTGCGATTGCAGACTAGATCGCATTTTCTTTCTTGCTTTTGATTCGTCTGTATCTTCTCCGTATTGTTAATGATGTCACTCACACTTCACCATTGTGCAAATATGGGTCAAAAGAGATGCTCATCAAAGCAGGCTTCCACCAGTAAGCGATAGCGAATAGAGGACAACGTGTCGAGCCCCTCCCAGTCTGAGGCGGAGGAGCTCAGGCCCTCAATCAATCTAGAGGCTGAAGAGAGAAGGAAACGAGGTGAAGATTTCAAGCTCCAATTTGGGGTTTATGGGTCCAGGGAGGTATTTAGAACAGGGCTCACAAAGCGCAAAATCCTGGGCGAGAAACAATTGAGCTTGAACGGGCTCAAAGATAAATACCCCCATATCCTGGAAAACATAAAAACACGGGGATGGGAGAACTTCACTGGGCCACCCACGGAGTACAATGAGACCCTTGTGAGGGAATTTTATGCATCCTATGGGGCCTCCAAGATGAAATACCACAAACGCAACAAAGTTTTCACCGACCAAGTGCTTGTCCGGGGAAAGACTATTTTCTGCAACATTGAGGACCTTAATGAGTTCTACGTTAAAGGATGGAGAGCAGGCACAACTGAGTACACTGAAAAATTCAAAAATAAAGAGAATGAAAGTGGATGGATTGCCTCACTGATAGCAAAAGGGACTCCCGCTTGGGTCGATCCTCAGCACAAGATATATAAGGAATATCTTACGAGAGAGGGTCGCTAATAGCTCAGTTTTGTCACTTCTCGGTTGGTACCAACTCAAAATGAAACTGAAATAGCCATCAAGAAGGCCCTTCTGATTGCTTGCATCATGACTGGTATCAAGATAGATGTGGGAGCGTTGCTCTTCCAAGAAATAGGGATCCGAGCAATGCAACATGAAACTTCACTTCCTTTCCCTTGCCTGATCACAGCTCTGTGTAAATCTGTGAAAGTTCCCATCCTGCCAACTGATAAAACTGGAAAGGAAACGAGGGATATTTATATCACACGTATCATGGATATCTCTCGTATCACTATTGCTGCTGCCCCATCACAGGTTCAGGTCCAAGATCCAATTGATCTAGAGCACAGTGACTCCCAGACACCGTGACTCCTCAGGTTACAGTGTCCCCCACTTCCACTTCCGAGCCTGCTTCTCAGTCCACCACTGTCCAGCCTGCCAGCACCATTCCTGCTGTCTCGAAGCTTGGTCGACTGGCTCAGCATGCCAATGCCAATGTAGATCATCTTTTGAAGACATTGCCAAATCTAATCAAACAAGCCCTGACGCCCATGCAATCCTCAGTGACGGCCCTCCAACAGCAACAGTCAAAATATGAGGATCGTCTACAGCAACTTGAGTTGAGGGTGGAGAAGATAGAACGGGGTGAAGTTAGTGGGTTTCCTGGACTCAAGAAGGAGGTTTCTTCTATGAAGACCGAGCTCCAAAAGATGCAGAACTTGGAGTTCGATCTATCATACCTTCTTCCCACAGATGGTGATCAAGTGACAGGCACAACACCTCCGGACTTAGGTCTTGACTTCACTGCACTGATGACTGATACTGCCCCTCCTACTACCGGAGCTTCCCAGCCTAAAGCCCCTCCAGCCCATATTGTGATCCATTCTGGGGAGGAGTCTGGAGGTTCTGGTAAATCAGAGGATGAGGAGGAAGATGGAAGTGAGGATGAGGAAAGTTCTGGATATTCAAGCGATGATGGCCCTCAGGATAAAGGAAAGCAGATTGCGGATGCCTCTGTCGAGGATGCTATTATTGAGGAGGATGCTATTGCAGAAGTGGAATAAGTAGATATGCAGACAGCGATCCAGCGGTCTCTAGTAGACATGGCCGGCCCTATAGCTCCATCAGTTACCCTACCATCAGTAGGCGAGAGTAGCAGCTCACAGGCTCCAGCACCAGCTCCAGCTCCAGCTCCAACTCCTGCTTTGGACTAGCCTGAGAGCACTACTCCATCGGGAGAGGTCATTCCTCAGACCGAGCTCTCATCGGTCCCAACTTCCACATCTGAGGGTGACCCCTCCAGTACTCAGCCAGCTACTGACTCCCATAGCACTTAGTGTGCCTCAAGGAGCCCCCCTCAAACTCATCTCTCTGTTTTTATGCATTGGGGACAATGCATGCTTTTAGTTGGGGGTGGAGGGTAGCATTGTAGATATTTTTGTGATGTTGGAAACTATTGTAAATATGCATATCTTTATGTTACAATCAGACTCATGTACTTATGTGTATTTTGTGTTCTGTATATATTAGTATGACTTCGGTACATGAGTTGTGTTCTGAAATTCGTGATGATGTTAATATTAGTGTTTGTTTTGTGTTCATAATAGCGTTGTGTAAATTTGATACCGTTGTCCATATAAAAGAAAAACAACAAAAACAAGTACATAGTGATTAGGAATCAATTCCTCTTTGTTTTTTTTCCTTCTCCCGGTTCTTTTCCAAGGGTGTAATAGTAGAACTAGGATTGTAGAATGAATCATTTTGACCGGTTTGGTGTAATTGCCTAGTATCAAGCATGTGTGTCTGTACATAGCATATACCCTTCCACATATAAAAAAATATTATTTTTGTCGACTTTTCCCGATGATGGATAGATTGACAACTTTCTTAAGGGAATTAGTCTTTGTGATCAACTTTGTGAACTTGAGGCTCGCTCTGTGACTCTATGGCGACCTAGAGTTATACATGTGTCTATGATGAAAGCCTTGAGTTGCCAAGTGTTGACTCAAAAGCGTCAAATTATGTGAATGAGACAGTCGTGTACCATGTGTGTGTAAGTTCTCTGCGTGTATATAACTCTCGTGTTTACTTCTATCATCTAGAACTTGCCAGGTTGGTTTTTCAATGCTAATGATAGTATGTTTGGTTGGAGGGATGATCTTAGGCATTCTTTGTCTTATTTGCTAGACCCCTGTAGCCTTTCAAGCCGACCTGTACATAAATAATATCACTAGTACCCAATTTGAGCCCTTAAGCCTTTTCTTTGGCCAACTCATTACAAAAATCTCCTTTTTTTGTAAAATAATCCCCTCTCTTGAACCCGTCCCTCCTTGGACATTGAGAACGAGGCTAAAATCCTAAGTTGGGGGTGGTGTCGCAGTGGAGATTGGTAAGGTTGTACGTTGAGTTAGGACCACATGCCTCAAAAGTGTTTGTTTTAGATTATTCAAGCTCCAAAAGAAAAAAGAGAAAATATGTGTATGTATATAAAGTATGGAGCCTTGAATAAAATTAGAAGAGGTATGTACGGTGGTTCTATATTGGAAACTAGACGCAAATGAGGCTATGAGGGTTTGAAAAGAAGCAAAGTTAAAAAAAAAATGGAAAATTGTGAGTAGTGTTCAAGGAGGGTGAAGTCACTTGTACCCAAATGTCTATCCAACCCTTCCCGAAACCTACATTACAAGCTTAAAAAGTCCTTATGAGACCTACAACCGAACATTCTTGAATAGGCAGTGAATTAAAATAAGGGCAAGCTCATGGTATGAAATGTTGTAACACTTGAAGTTCGTTCTGAGAGTGAGTGTATTTGTAAACTATCCCTTTTTTGTTGTCCTTGTAAATATTGTGATTTTGGGACCTTCTTTCTAGTGAGGGTACATGAACTGTGGAGTTAAACAAAAGTTGAGCTTTTGAGTCAAATTCAATTGCACTCAGTTGAGAGTAACATTTTGTCGCAATGTCTAAGGCTCAAGGTTCACAAGTTGATTAGTTTTCCTTGTATATACTATCAGTTCAGGAAGGGTAAAACAATTATAGATGCATGCTTGAAGTACTAGCAATGAACACCACCCGTAGTCATTATCGTTTCATGTTTTGTAAATAAATCTAGAATATGAATAAGTTTGTTTTA